CCACTCCACCATGAACTTCTTAGAGATTACCCCCCCCTTTTTTTTTGGTACCAAAAGTCAACTCATCTTTTAATGCTGAAGTTCATGTTCTGTGGCTCTGCTCACAGCCCAGCTGAGGGCTTTGACACACCTGTCCCAGACATGTGCAGGTCATCAGGACACACATGGACAGGACTGTGATCCCAAAGCACTGAGGAACATTCTAGAATGTCTAAAAGCCGTCCGTGGTAAGAAGGTCAGGACTAGGGAAGGCAAGTCACATCAGTAAAAGCTGACGGGGTGGTTGCACTTAGGAAGAAAGGGAACCAGAGATTTTACACACACACAAACATGAGTAGAAACTCCAAAAAAAATCATTACCAGGGTTTTCACAGCAGCCACCATGTTTCTTACGGAAAGCAGAAAGTAGAATTTCACCTCTCATTGCTTACATTTTAAATTTCTCCTATTTTCAAAATAAAGATGTATCAGGCTATGACTTTCCATAATTAAAATTATAATCAGAAATTACTTCTAAAAAGTTAGTTCTCTCCCAAAATAATTACAATTGAATTCCTTTTTAAATACAGAACTTCTATGTGTTGAAAATGTGATTCCAGCGTTGGGTTGGTTTAAGTTGCTCCATCTGATTCTTGCCTCCACTTCTGATCTAGTTTCCTGCCAATATGCACCCTGGGAATGCACCAACTACTCTGGAACATGCTGGTTCTCTCCAGAGAGTCCGGTGACTTCTAAATCACCCTTCCCAGCATTAGAGGTAACTGAAGGTGGAGTGGAGCCTGCTGATGTGTAACAGATCCCAGAGCCAAGAGGGCCAGGGGGCGCTGAAGAAGAGAAAAAAATCAGCATGGAAGAAACACAGCTGAAGACTGAATGTTCTAGAAAGATCTGGCAGAATTCCACAGGAGAAAGGGCTGGATTCTCAAACCTTCTTACCTACTTAATTCTCAGATGTGGAAAAATCTAGAATCAAGTCTGTCCAGTTGAAGAGTTCAAAAAGAAAAAAAGAGAGAGAGAAAATGTAAGGCCCAGCCAAGTTGGGTGAGGGGCAGCCTAGGAGGAGGTTGAGAAGGGTGGCTGATAAGGCTGCACCAGGTAGCCCCCTGCTGGGCCTGCAGTGATGTGTGGACCCACCAAGGTCAAAGCGAGCCTGTAAAGCTCCAGAAGGCACATTCCTTTGTCCCCCAAACCCCACCTTTACAGCCCCTCAATCAAAACAACCCCTCATGTCCCCTGGTCACGACTTCCCTGGCCTGCTGTCTGTACCAGTGAACCACTGTCGGGACCAGTGAACCTTGCCCAGGAACTCTCCTAATAAAGCTTGTTTTAAGCTGAACTTTATACTGTGTGGATTTCTGATTCTGAACATGAACTCAAACCTTGCAGGAAAGAGCAAGAAAGAAAAGAAAAGAAAAAATTCCATAGAAAATGCATACTATGAAATAATTATGCATGGGTTTGTTTTCTTTTTTTTAATTTTGCTCCCAAGTCTTACTTCTAATTCTGTCTGAAGTACTCTTGTGTAATGTGCACATATACCTGAAACAAGTGTCCACAAATACTCACCTGGACACATGGCAATATGTCCTAAGTTGCTTTTCTGGTTTAAATCTATTTCATTTTTTAAATGTTGGCCACAGCCCATTCAAATGATGACTCCATCCACAAATGGATCATGACCTTAGACCTTGTAACACAAACAATTTCCAACCCCTTTGACCCAAAAATGAAAAAGATAGGACTGAGATTAAATCCAAGGTCACAAGGCTACCTCCTGGCAAGAACAGGCCAGGCACAGACCAAGGGCAAATGTCGGAGGCTATCAGTGTGACAGTCGAAACTCAACAAATGCCTCTTCCGTGAATTCTTTTTTTCTTTTATATTAGAAAGGCAGATTTACAGCAAGAAAGAGAGACAGAAAGGAAGATCTTCCACCTGACAGTTCACTCCCCAAATGGCTGCAACTGCTGGAGCTGAGCTGAGGTGAGCTGAAGCCAGAAGCCAGGAGCTTCTTCTAGGTCTTTCACGGGGGTCCTAAGAACTCAAGTCATCCTTTGCTGCTTTCCCAGGTCAAACATGTGCAGTGAGCTGGATGGGAAGTGACGCCAGTGGGACATGAACCAGCGCCCATATTGGATGCTGGTGCTTGAAGGTGGAGGATTAGCTAGTTGAGTCAACACATCAGCCCCACTGGGAAGCATTCTTTGAGCTACCTGATCAGAATTCATCTGTGCCCTCACTTCCCCTCTCCACACTGCCCAGGGTCCCACTGCCTGTCTCAGACATTTATCTTTAATACTCCAAAGCCCAGGCACCATGATGTTGGGCTCACTATGGTCCCAAGGCACAGTCCAACCCAGTAGAAACTTGATCCAACTAGGAAAGGATCTAGGCAGGTGATCTGACTACAATCAACCATCAGGATAGGGCCTGATCTTGGATTTAAACCTCCTGAACTACAAGACAAAATAAACCTCTTTTTTTAGGAATTCCATTACAACAATGACAAATTAATGCACTGTGGCACGGCTCTCTCTCCCTCTCTCTCTGTCACACACACACACACACACACACACACACACACACACAAAGCAAAACAACGCACCTCAGATCAGAAAAGCATGCCTTCCACTTAAACCTCTAGGGTCCCAAACATGCATTCTCTGGGCAGTTTTTAAAAAGCTTACTGGAAAATGTGCACTAGCAAAACACTACGCACGGGTTTCAAAAATGGCTTATACCCAGATAAGCTTATCACTTCACTGTGTTTTCCTACAGTTGCTTTGAAAGACTCTCACCTGCTAGCTGAGCTGCATGGATCAATACAAGTCACTTACATCCCTGCAGTATTGGGAGGCAAAACCACTCTGTACCTCCACTCAGAGCCCAGCTTCCAACAGCGCTGAGGACACCGCAGAAATCTGTTTTTATCCCTAAAGTTCTGTTACAACCCAGCCGTGCTCACATTTCATCTTCCATCTGTGGCTGTTTTTGTGCTACCAGGGCAGATCTGGGTCACTGTGAAAGAAAGCCCAGGCCTACAAATCCTAAAATATTTTCTATCTTGCCCCTTACACAAAAGGTTTGCCAACCTCGGGCTCATGGGATCCCGGCAAATGCTTGGCTGTAGTGAAACAGACATGACATCAAAGTCTCCATCTTAACCGTTCTGAGTTGGACCAGGAAGCAGCACTAGGTACTGTCACACTGCTGTGCCGCCATCATAACTGCCCACCTCCAGAACTGTAGCTCTGCACTCATTAAACAATAACACCTTGTCCTCCTACCCCAGGTCCCTCCCATCAACGAATTACACATGATTTGTTACTTGGGGACCGCCTTCTTTCACAGAGCATACGATTTCTAAGGTTTATCCATGTTCTAGCAGGTGTCAGAATTTCCTTTCAAGTTTGAGTAATGTTGCATTGTATGAATAGATCACACTTTGCTTACCATCCTCTATGGATGCACAACTTTGGGTGACTGTGGATAATGCTGCAGACTGCCAACCCCGGGGTCTTGTGTCACACCGCAGGCCCTGTTGCCTTAGCAATGCAGGCTTTCTGACCACTTCCTTCCACCCCTAGATACTGTTATGTTATGTTTTAAATATGGCTGGCTCTCCAAACTCATGCAGGACTCTAACCCCAAGGGTCATACATTAAAGGTATGAAGAGGATGGAAACAACCAGTTCTTGTGTTTAGCAGGTAGGCCTTAGGTTGGAGGGGCACGGGTGGAAGGTACCCCCAGATGGTCTCTCTAGAGGGTTACTACAAAAGCCTGGGTAGGGACAAAATAATTCACCTGGTAGTTACAGACTCTCGCATCCCACATCAGAGTGCCTGGCTGGATTCCCAGCCCTATCTCTTGAGTTCAGCCCATGCAGACCCTGCAAGGCAGCACTCAGGAGGCAGTACCAGGGGCCCAAGCACTAGCCAGGCCCTTGCCCTGCAAATGGGAGATCTGGATTATTTTCTTGGCTCCTGGCTTCTGGCTCCAGCCCCAGCTGTATTCCAACTGCTGTAGATATGTGGGGGGTAAACAGCAAATGAACTTTCTCTCTCTCTCTCCCTATCCCTTTCCCAATACATTTTTTTAAAATTACTTTTAAATTATAAAACTATAAAGCCTGAGCCATGCCCAATCCCCTCCAGTTTCCTAGTTTACCAAGAGATCTTTTCCATATAGTTCCAGGAGCATTACCATTTACCACCCTCACTACAGGCCAATCACTGGGGACCTTCTGATCTTGAACTTAAACTGTAAGCTAAAGGAACCTCTTTGCTTCACAGGTAACCCCTCTCCAGTATTCTACCACAGTGAAGAAAACCCAATGTAAGTACTCACTAGACTTCATATGAGAAAAATACAAAATACCTCAGAAAGCACACTTTACATTGCCCCTATGTTGGAATATTATGCTGACATTACTGAGTTAAATGTATCAGTAATAATATTTTATATCAAAATAACATTTTCACATTACTGACTTGAACAGATTATAAAAGTAGCATCACTGCATCTTCTTGCTTAATGCAGCTACTGAAAAATTAAAGGTTAAATATGCAACTTATTATCTTATTTCTAGGGGTAGCACTAGGCTCCTCTCCCGAAGGGTTGGCTGGCTTCTGCAAAGGGCCTCAAGGTCATTATTTTTGGCTTTGGGGGTCACATTCAACTCTGCCATTGTCAGTCAAGAGCAAACACAATCCATGCATAAGAAACGAACATGAATGTGCTCTGATGCGCTTTATTTTTCAGTATAGGAAGCCAGCCCATATGCTAGAGGGTTAATAATATTTCTAAATGTAGCCAATTCTAAGAAATTCTATTCTAATCTTCTCAAAACCCTCAGTAGAAAGCCATCTTTGCTTAGACTGGAATCGTGACACAGATGTACATTCCATGCCACCCCAAGCTGGACGGCTCCTGGAGCCACCAGACAGCCCCTCCCAGCCCCAGGCTCCCCTGGCCCGCAGGCACTCCCCACTGTACTCACCTGGGTGTGTGGGCCTCATCCACGCGGTTACCCAGCTGGAACTCGTGGGATTTGCTCCGGTGCAGGGCCGTGAACCCTGGGATCAAGTGGATCAGCTTCCGGGAGGAGGGTGGCGGTGTTCCTGGTGGCTTCAGCTTGTTCTTCCGCCTCATGGGTGGCGTGCCAGGTGGGGTCACGGTGGTGACGATATTGGGGGTGCGAGGTGGAGTACGGACTGTGTGCCGCTGTCGTGGTGATGGTGGTAGGGAACGGTGGCCTGACTCCAATGGCGGTGGCGGGCAGAGGCCTGGGTAGGCATCCACAGTGAGCCTGTCCACATGGGTGTAGACGGGGGCCCCAGGTGTGGGGCTGGTGTGACAGTAGTGCTGGACGCACTTGGATGGGACCCTGGGGCTCTGGGAAAGATGGGTGCGAATCCACGGAGTGGGCTCTGGAGTACACACAGGATTGTTTTCCTTCCCTGTCTCCGTGGTGGGCCACTGGATGGTCCAGTCTTGTTTGGAAAGGTTGCCTCCTGAGTTGGAATAAAGGAATAGAGAAACGATGAGTAAACAGGTGAATCATACTGTGTGCGTCACTCCATCATACAACCATCACACCATGTATGTCTTACAATCATATATATATCCCATCATGATGCACACTGCATGATATGCACACTAGACTATATGTACCATTGTATCATATGCATAATGAATTATAAGCGTATAATATCATATATAAACCCATCATAATCATAGCATGATGCTTATCTTAGACTATATGCACCACTGTATCACATGCAGATTTTAACATATGCACATCACTTCATACATATGTTGCCTAATATATATGTTACTTACATTCACACATACTTATATTACAGCATATGCCTGCTATGCTGTAAGCACATTATACTATACGCATGCTATACTGTAAGCATGTCACACTATATGCACATTATACCCTACGCATATGATATCACACATATGTCATATGCATTTTTCTTCAATTGCACATAATACCGCATACATATGACATCAGAAATGGAGAGGGGAGGGTTAACAGGAATGAGGTGAGGCCGTAGAGAAGAAATGATACGCTGCTCTGAAACACAGTAGGATAACTAGAGTTGACAACAATTAATTGTATATTTCAAAATAGCTAGTATGGAGGATTTTGAATATTCCCCAAAGAAATAGTAAATGTTCAGGGTGAAGGATATGCCAATTACCCTCAGCTGATAAATACAGTTTATATGCATGTATTGAAATGTCACGCTGCAGCCCATACATATGTGTAATAACTGTGTGTCAATTTAAAATGCTAATAGATGAGCGAAAATTCTAAGAGAAAAGGGAAAAGCCAGCCAGGGTCAACGAAAGAAGATTCCAGCAAATCTAGAGAAAGGAAATTGAGGTAATGATGGGCTAGGGAAGGCATAAAGAAATCTCAACTTGTTGCCAACCAGAAATAATGATCATTTTTGTACCCTGAAAGAAAACCTCATACCTATTAATAATCATTTCCTATTGCCCATTGTCAGAGGTTTGCTCCCTGGTAACCCCAATTTGCTCTGTCACTATGGATTTACCTTTTAGGAATGTTTCATGAAATTGGAATCATACAAGATGTAACCTTTTGTGTCTGGTTTCTTCCTGTTAGCATATTGCCTTCAAGGTTAATCTAGGTTGTAACATGAGGTAGCACTTCATTGCTTTTCACGACTGCAAAGCATATTGTTCCATTGTATGACAAAACATATTTTTAAAAAGATTTCTTTGTTTAAAATAGCAAAGGAGAGGAGGAGTTAGAGGTGGGAGGGGCTGGTTTCCACCAGCTGATTTATTCCTCAAATGATCACAACAACTAGAGCTGGGCCAGGCTAATGCCAGATGGAGTTCCAGGCCTCCAGCATGGGTGGCAGGAGCCCAAATACCTGGACCATCTTCCACTGCTTTTCTAGGCTCATTAGCAGGAAGCTGGATTAGAAGTGGAGAAGCCAGTCACAGATCACAGCAGGGAGAGGTTGGTGCTTGGCTAATCATAAGACATAGAAGCCACACAGCCCAAGGGATGAGGTGCATTTCCCAGAGCTGCCCTAGAGGACCCCTGGAGCTCAGCATGAAGGCCCAGAGTGTAAAGGGTAATGGGGACCATAAGCCTTGCCACTCCTCCTGTTTCCGTGCCGTTAAAGCCATCATAGAAATCCTGGCACACAGTCTGAGTGGGCATCTGTGCTTGCTGCTCCAGGGGACCTCTGCATGTTGCGGAGGGATGTGATTCGCCGAGCATTGTCACCATGGTATGGGGAACTAATTGGATGGGGCCTGGGTAGGAATGGGAGCCTGATCTGAGGCTCCTGGAGGTGCGTGGATGGGAGAAGATGAACACCTGAGCTACACAATCCTATCAGTGAAGATGAAGAGATATGCACTGACTAAAAGTAAGGGAGAAAGATTTCAAGAGAAAAATAAACGCCTACTGAGAACCGAATATGGACCCAACAAGAATACTCCATGTGATTTACATGTAAAACATCACAATACCACAAAATTGCCTTCTGAAACAGACAAGCATGACTCTGTGTTCTAGATGAGAAAACACGCACGAACAGGTTCAATGCCTTGCTCAAGGCCATGCTGCCAGGAAGCAAGGAAAGCTATAATTTGAGTACGCTCTGTGTGCCCTTAGCCATCGTCAAGCCCAAGTTGATGCCCTAGCTTAGGTCACATGATTGTGAGTGGTACCAAGCACCATCATTGGAAACAGAAGAAAAAATGGGACACGGAGGAGGCTTGGGGTCCCACAGCCCGAGTCTGAGGCTGCTGCAGGACACATGAAAGAAGATTCCTGGGAGGTGATTAGACCTCCTCTTCCTTTCCTCCCCAGAAACCCAAGACCATGTCCCAGGAGGAAGCCAGCTTTTTCTTCGTAAATTTTTATTCATTTCTATTTATTTGCATAATTTGAGCAGACAGAAGTCTCCTAGCCTAATTGCACTCACCGAATGCCCACACACCTGGGGCTGGGTCAGACTGAAACCAGGGCTCAGGAACCAGATCTCCTTACATGAGTAACAGTGATACAACCACTTGGACCATCACTGGCTGCCTCCCAAGCTCCGTACCAGCAGCAAGCCAGGGATTTTGAGATGACATGCGTGCATCCCAAGTGGCGCTTGCAGCATCAAGGCAGCACCCAATAGGAAGTGCTTTTTCTAGCCTGAGTGCATTCATGACATTCTAAGATCTCCTGAGCTTAGCCATGACAATATCAGGTTTGCTGTAGACTTTCTTTTTATAAAGACACAGCACAGTTTAAATGAGCTCACCTCCTGTCTTCTCTCCCAACCCATCCCCAAACATCCAGGGCATATATCCTATTACCTGGATTACACACAGGTCAAGAAAGAGAGGTCCTTGGCATATCACCTACCACCTGGCACCCTCGGAAGGAGGGGCTATGCTTCTGCATTTGGAAGGTTTGCTTTATGAAATGAAGGAACAAGAATTCCTTCTCATAAATCTGCAGCCAGCATTTTTAAGGAAATAGGAATTTTTACCATGCAAAGGTGACCTTGAACTGTGCAAATGACAGTTGGTAATAAACCTGCCCTTATTTTAGCTTGTTATGCCTTTGTTCCAACAGCCCCACCCCCAACTCACACAGTCCTCAATATTGGCTGAAGATTTACTAGAAAGTCATTTTTCGAAAGCGCCTTGGAAGGCACTTGCCATATCAGTGATAGGGGACTTAATACCTCTTTTTCCTGTCCTGTTAGATGGGTGTTACTGATCTATTTTATCAAACAGTAAAATTAAGCATCCCTAACTTGAAAAATATGAAACTCCAAAAAATATCTGCACAATGTCACCAATGGAAAATTCCATTCTGATCTGGCTTTTCAGGTAGCAGTCAAATGCAGGTGCACTTAAAATACTGAGCAAAATTATTACCTTCAGCCAAGGTGAATAAGGTATATGTGAGACATGAGAAAATCTCATGTTTAGACGTGGGTCCTGCCCCCAAAACATCTCGTTGTGCATATGCAAATATTCCAAAACCAAAGAGGTCTGTAATATACTGGTCCCAAACAAAGGGTACTTGGCGTGTACTGGCTAAGTCCCAGCACTCGGCTCAGCCCCCAGAGTTCACATTCTTTTCCGATCACACGGTGCTCTACCCATGAGCTAGGACCCACCACACCACACAGACTACAGTTCCAAAAGGACACACACACACACACACACCACCAGGTTCCAGGAAACACTAGTTTGCCTCCAAGATTCCCTTCTTAAAGTTTTTTTTTTTTTTCCAAATTTGTGAGAGAAAAGAAAAACTTTGTTAGTCCCTATCAGCTTCCCTGCCCCAGGAAATTCTCTTTCCCCATCCACCCCTACACTTCAAAAACAGAAGTTTGAGGATGCAAAAGCAAAACAGCCTCATTTCATTATCCAAATCGCCAGCTGCAAAACCGACTTCTCTCTGCTGCCACTTCTGAAGTGCTCCACGGATGGCTGACGTGAGATCATCTCTTCCCCCTCTCTCTTTTGATCCTCTGTTTAATAAAGTCTGAGGGAAAAAAAAGGTAATTTTTCATTTTAAAAAGGGAAGGTGTGGCAGCAAGGGGCCCCGAGGGTTATTAATCGTCACCCTTGCTATCTTGTCATCGTTTCTGGAAAAATCATTTTATTTCAAGTCTGGAGATGGGCGGGGAAAGCGGAATAAGTTTTAAGAAATGAAAGGTTTGAGGATTGATTAAAGGCATTTCAAGGTTTCGAGGGGTTTTCTCTTGACATTCTCTGATAAGGGACTAGGAGAAATATGAACGATTCTCAAGGGAGAAAATGATTTTTGGAAAGTCTCAGCAAGTATCTGACTTCTTTGTCCCTTCCCATTAAAATCTTATAAACAGACAAACGTGGGGCTTAGAATTTGTCGGCACTTCTAAGCTAGCTTCAAAATGTATATTTGCTGCAGCCCTGCAAAGGAAGAGGGGAGGAGACGCAACCAGTCCAGGATCGCTACCATTTGTCATTTTCGGTAATATCTCAAAGCACTTGCCAATCAAATCCTTGTGACTTTTTGGCAAGATGCAGGACTGTTAGATGCTAGTTAAAAATACTAGATAGCACTCGATGGTAGAACAATACATGGTTTTCAGTTTAACCCTCATAACTTTAGATATTGGTGACCAATATTTGACTGGAGTTATGAAGGAAGCAATTAATTTATAGCATACTAACAATAACAGCAGTTATTATTACAGGCTTAGTATCTCCTATCCAAAATACATGGGACCAGAAGCACTTCTGATTAGGGATGGGTGGGGGAAAGGTTGGAATATTTGGCAAAGATGTAATATGAAATATTTTAGGAATGAAAGGCAAGTCTAAACACAAAATGCTCTCATCACAATACACCTTATTTGCACAGTCTAAGTTATCTTGTACATTTTTAGTTCACCTGCATTTTTTACCCCAACCCACCACATAAGCTCAGGTGTGGAATCTCCCACCTGCAGCTTTCTAT